ACACAGTGAGACTCTGTCTCAAAAAAAAAAAAAAAAAAATATTATCTCACTTAACCCTCATGGCAACCTATTCGAGGTTGGTAAAAAAATACATATCATCAGGGATTATTAGAAATAAAAAAATTCAAGTTCAAAAAAGAAAAGAAAACTTGCCCAGTCACAGGACTTGAAAGTAGCAAGGCCACAGTTCAGATTCAGAGTACATTGTTCTATCCACATCGTTACAAAAAATTACAGAAATTGGCTAAAGCATCTGTGTTCTGCATGACACGTTCCCATAAGTGAATCAATTTCCACTTCAGGTGCTCACTCTTGGCTAGGGCTTGAGGTTGGGCTGTCCATCACTGTCTCTGTTGTCATCTGTGTCACTCACACTCACTGGAGCACTGTGCCTGGCTGGGCCAGCCCAGCCCTTCCCTTCCAGGATCTGAGTCCCACACACCCTATGCGACAGAGAGCCTGTTGCCTGTTACAGATGAGGATCTGAAGCTTGGACAGGTAAGTGACTGTCTGAGGCCACCCAGCTAGATGAGGTGAACCCAGGCTAGGAACCGAGCATGTGCTGTGCAGTCATGAGCCGGGACTCAGGGAAGGGGGCAGCGTCCACCTTCCGGGGAGGAGCTGAGCCCCCTGTGACGCCACCCCACAGACATCTGCCTGCAGCCTCGGGAAGGTCACACTCCGAGGTCCTTCCCTAAGAGTGTGGGTGTCAGACGAACACACTGTCTGCAGACCTTACAGGGGACCACGGCAACAACAAATGTTTGCTGAATCAAGTACAAAAAGCTGGGTTTCTAATCTTGGTAGTGTTAGGGTGGGAACTCATAACTTGGGATGAGAAAGAATTCTCAACACAAAGATTAGAATAGTTTTATTTTACTCCCCAAGGGGAGGGAAGGGTGCGGCACAAAAGAAAGAAAGGAGAAGAGCCAGCAGGGAGGATAAGGGATTGGGGTTTTTATGGGGATAAAGAGAAAGGAAAAAAAGGCGATTGCTGCCAGCTGCCAGCAGAAAACAGCTGTGAAGCGGCTGCATCTGTTTTTCCCTTTTTTTCCTCTTCTCTGTGACGCTGGCTTACCAGAGTCCCTGGAATGTGGCCTGGGAGAACCGAGAAAGCATCAGCTCTTTCCATCTGCTCAGTTCCTTTCAAGCGCAGTGAAAACAGAACTCTTAGAGGGAAGAAGCTACACAGGTGGTTAATCTTAAAGACAAAAGAAAACAAGTTGAGCCGCAGGTGGTTAATCAAACAAGGGGCAACAAGGGGCAGTTGTTTGTGTTCTTTCTCTCCAAAGGGGCAATTATGTACTGTGAATGTTTTCCTTTTTGTTTTTTTTTGTTAGATAGTTTATTTTTCTCTGTGTTAGTTTATTAGCAAGGCCATCCTTTCAGGTTGCACTGGAACGGAGTAGTTGCTGAATCCAGATGGAGCAAATATGTTGAATGAGAAAAGAGTTTGTGTGACAGAGATGGGGATGTGCTGGGAGGTGCCCTCCCCACGCAGGCTAGGCACATGTGCCTCTTACCCGTTTTCTTCTTGGCCCTCTGTTGGGTTTGCAGCCAGATTCTTTGGAGCACAGGCTGCCCCTGTCCTCTTCTCATTCTGCACATGCCCTCCTAGAGCAACACACCAAGATCCCCCTTGGGGCAGGGAGGCGGCTAGCCGGCCCTCATGTCCAGCCCCGCTGAGTCTACTCCAGCTCTCTGCAGAGCAGGCCCCAGGCCACGGGTCTCCACATAGTCTCCACTTCTGTGAACTCGCTCCCCCTCTGTGTTGCTCGTCTCAACTAGGGCATCGCTGCCTCTCTAGTCCCCCAAACTAAAAATACCGAGCTTGTCTCCAGTGGCTTCCCTTCTTGTCATCTCCACGTCCTGGAAATGTTCCCCAGCTGCCCCCTTCCCCTCCCCATGCCTTATGCCCACAGTCAGTGCCAGGGTCTTACCTTTGACACCTTTTACTTGGATCGTGTACAGCCCGCCTCTCCGGCCCAGCCCAGCCTCCACGCCATCCCCAGAGGTCTTCTCCAATCTACATCTGACAGGTCGCCCTCCCCATTTCTGCTCACAGCCCACTGTGAAAGCAACGCCCACTCCACCATGCAGGGCTGCCCAGATTTGTCCCATGTGGCCACCTGACTGGTTCCTGACATTCTCCTCCAGGGCCCCGCACCCACCCATCTGGGACTGCCCAAATGCATCCGCGTCCCTTTGTGCCTTTGCTTTTCCAAAAAGCAATGCAGGATAGTGTCACCAGCCCCACCCAGGACTCGCCTCACTCATCCTTCAAGCCCTGGCTCCCGCATCCCTTCCTGGACATTACTTTGCTCCCTTTGCTCCTCTTTCACTCGTTTATCCACCAGCAAGTGTGCACTAAGCGCCTTCTGAGTCAGACAGCTCTCGAGGCCTAGGAATTCATAAATAAATCGCACTCACTGCCCTGGTTGGTAATTGGTTGTGAGACTCCTCTGTGACCCTGACCTTCATTACTCCAAAGGGGTTTAGTATACTCACACCCCAGGCACATGACAGACCAGCGCAGATCCACAAAGCTGAAGGGTTGAGGAGCTTGACTGTAGACTGAATATTAGATGCTATTAAGGGATCCTTTTCATTTTGTCAGGAGTGAGAATGTCACTGTGCTCACGTACGAGAATGTCCTTGTTTTCTCAGAGATGCAACTTGAAGGATTTAATGTGAAGGGGTTCAAGTAAAAATATAGATAAATTACAAGGAAATATGTCAAAATGTTAACTGTGGTTGAAGCCAGGGGCTGCGTACAAGGCGTTCATTGAACCGCTCTTTCTGTATGTCTGTATATTTGCATTTCTTCACAATAAGTTTAGAGGTGAGTTGACTTGAATTGACTGGACCCGGTTTCTTATCTATCGAATTGGGGGTGTCTGTGGAGGGGCAGCTAATGATCTCTTAAGGCCGTGTCCTGCCCTGCGGCTCTGGGGCCGGGGTGCTCCTGTCTCCGTGAGCCACGCCGGGAACAGGGCAGACAGCACAGGGTCACACCTTAAGTGATCCAGCCGGTGGCTAAAGCCAAGTTGAGGCAGGAGAGGCAGCGCAGGCTCCGGTCCCTGGCAATGCAGGTCGCAGTCGGCAATCGGCAGTTACGCACTTGACCACGGGCGCCAGTGTCCCAGCGGTCTCCATCCCAGAAAGCTGACGCTCCGGAATCACGGGACGTTCCAGGCCTCGACAGGCCAAGGAGACTTCAGTTCTGTACCGAAGGGCTCTGAAGCCCTTACAGCCTCCCACCTTCGAGGTCCGAGCCCGCCGAACTGCGTCTTCTTGCTAGGACACCTAGGCGAGCAGGTGAGGATGACAGTCCCCTCGGCCCGGCCCGTTTGCTGTTCCTTCCTCACTCTAAGAAGGCCTCTTACCCGTAGCTAAAGGACAGTGCACGAAGTCCAAAGGTTCCTCTCCCTCCTCCATTCTGGACGCCCCTCTCACCGTCCCCAGACGCTCACGTAGGGTCGCGAAGGCAACTCACCGGGAAGGAGGCCGGGGCACCTCCGGGACCTGACGGCTGCGTGTCCCAGTGTCTGCGGCGACTTCCTCCCTTCGCCGCTGGGTCGCCGCCTGCAGCAGGACACGGGGCGGCGGGCGGGGGTCTCCAGCCCGGGGCGACTGGCGGACACGGCCTCGCTCGCCCCGCCGGGTGGCCCGGGCGTAGACTCTACGTCTGTCTTTCCACAGCCAGAGCGAAGCTACCAGCACTGGCGATGTCACCAATCGTCCCGTTCCCCGGAAGCGCGCGGCAAACACTGGCTGACGAGTGACCACAAGAGCCCCGCGGACCTCGGTCCGCTCCCCGCAGCCAGGGGCCCAGGGGGCGCGCACGGCGGCCGGGGCGACGGGAGCCTGGCACGACCGCAGGGTCCCGAGCGCGAAGCCGCGGCCTTGGGCGGCGCCGGCCCATCGCCAAGGCCTCGCCCCTCGGCCGGGCCGGGGCGGGGCCGGGGCGTAGCTTTAAGAGGCGGCGCGGGCTGCGGAGGCGGCGAGCCAGGCCCGCGAGGGGACCCGCGCCATGGACACCGCCCGGGACTACGCAGGAGCCCTCCTCAGGTGAGCGCCGCGCGTCCTTGGTTCCGGGGTTCCTTTTCGGCCCTTTTCCCGGGGGCAGGGGCCCGGCGGCCCGGCGGGGCCGCAGGTCCGGGTGTGGCGCCCCCGAGGCGCGCGGGCGTCCGTGGAACAGGTGACAGTGAGAGTGCACGAGTGGCCCCGTCTCCTGCCGCCGCGGTGCGCCCGGACCCGGCTTCTCCGGG